TAACTGGAAATTTCTTTTTGTACTTACAACAGTAATTAATTGTGACAAAGTTACAGAGTTATTGAAGTTTGATTGTGGAAAATTACGTGGAATACTCCCATTTTCACTGCAAAAGTGACTGTTTAATACTCCTATTTTCCTAACAAAATGGAGATCCATAAGGACACCACTGTCTTCATTTCAGCTAAGAGAACATATGAAAAACCAAAACATGAGGCCATGTAATACAGCCCTTTTTTAGAGATCATGAAGTGACAGTTCAATTTGTCGCTGCATTGAATTCAGCTGACCACTGAGGAAAATGGATCCTCTGTCTGCAGTGGTCATGTTCAGAAATGAATCCTTTCACTGTATCACACTTTTAGTAAGATTTATACATTCTGTGAAAAGCAAGGCAGTTCCATCAAAACAGATCGAGTTCAATATAATACAAGTTAAAATTTTTGCCCATATGTGTAGTAATAAGATTCTGCTCTAGAACTTAATTTCTTGAATGGGACTTTTGTTTTCAATTTCAACCCCATATTCATTCAAAAGTCTGTATTTACTTAATTTTTTGCCACCATTACATGTCTTCCCTTAGCTCTCATTTTGCTAGGACAAAACAAGCCAAGTGGGTTAGGCTTTCTAACCATTGCCCTATTCATTCTTCTTTTGCATCTATTCCTTTTTTATCTTAGTACTTCTGCCATCATTATGGAGCATGACAATTGTACACAGTGTCTCATGTGGAGTCTTCCCATATTGTCTAGAAGGCCATTGACAGTACTCTGGGAAATACTCTCAGTTCAACATCACTTGATTTTCAAAGGAAATGTTGCTTTTCTTTTCAACAATCCCTTTTCTTACTTAGTTTAAAGTGCTGGGCCTTTGTTGACTCTCCACTAAGTCAGGTCTGAATGTCAGCAAGACTATTATTACTATACAATAATACAGGTTACTACAACTGCAAATGGATTTATTGGACAAAGAAAAAGAGGTACAAAACTGTATCTACAAGATAGCACAGAAGCAAAAAAAAAAGGGATATCAAATGGTTCTTACATTTTTTTGGGGGGAAGTGCTGGATATTGTACTTATCGCTACATCACATAGAAATTATGTATGTCATTTTCCAGTTTATAAGTGTAGCTATCATATTTATTATAGTCGATATTTATCTTGTATTCCATCAAAAAAGGTGGTTTTAGGTTCAGTACCTGATCTCCTTCTATGACAAGGTGACTTGCTTAGCAGATGAGGCTGTGAATATTGTCTATTTGGACTTTAGTAAAGCGTTGGTCACCATTTCCCACAGCATTCTCCTGGAGAAACTGGCCAGCCAGAGAGTGGTGGTAAAGGGAGTTACATCCTGCTGGTGGCTGGTCACAGGTGGTGTTCCACAGGGCTCAGTACTTGGGCCAATCCTATTTAATACCTTTATCAATGATCTGGACAAAGGGATCGAGGGCACTCTCTGTCAGTTTGCAGACACCACCAAACTGACTGGGTGGGAGTCTTGATCTGCTAGAGGGTAGGAAGGCTCTACAGAGGGATCTGGACAGGCTGGATCAGTTGGCTGAGGCCAGTGGTATCAGGTTCTAAAAGGCAAAGTGCCAGGTGCTACAGCTGGTTCACAACAACCCTAGACAGTGCTACAGACTTGGGACAGAGTGGCTGGAAAGCTGCCTGGCAGAAAAAGACCTGGGGATGCTGGTCGACAGCTGAACATGAGCCAGCAGTGTGCCCAGGTTGCCAAGAAGGCCAATGGCATCCTGGCCTGGATCAGAAACAGTGTGGCCAGCAGGACTATGGTGGCCACAGCCTTAGTGATCTTCCCCCTGTACTCAGCACTGTTGAATCCTTGAAAATGTCTTTTTAATTAGAAAATGTGGAAAAAAGCCTAAAGCACTTAGGTTGAACTACAAGTACAAACATGAGGTATTACAGATACAGACAATTTGGTTATGAGTTATATGAAATAACCCAACTGTCATCCACAATGAGTGCCTTCAGTCTTTCAAGTGTTGCACAAGGAATATATATATGCACTTTCACTTCCCTGTATTCAGTTCCTTACTGCTCTGCTGTCATTCTCAAAGCAAGGAGAAACATTAGTGTGACAGCACAGGACATATCCACAATGATGTTTAAAGGTTTCAGAGACTTTTGCTATTTTTCTAGAGATGGCAGACATACCGATTTACCTCAGGACAGAGCAACCTTCAGATCCAACAGTTGAAAATGCACTGGAACTGCCGTGATAACTCACACAACTGAGTTTGAGATGTAGATATTCAAAGATGCTGACATCAAGAAATGAAATCTTGTCCCCACTGGAGTTGGAGCAGATTCAGCTTTGATGTCAGCACAACTGTGATTTTAACAGCGATTTTAGAAATGTCAGGCATGGCTCATGAGTCTAATTGACAGAAACATTTTGACGAATGTCAAATTTTAAAATACCATTTTTACCTCAAGCACTTGACTTGCTTCTGTACTGATCCTAGGTACAATTTTTTACAGCACAATATAGGACACACTACACTTTTATTTCTATGCACACAGCTCAGTTAGTGCAATCCTCAACTGCTGTAGTTATTTGCTTGGATGTGGAACAACACTGAGGAACTCCAGCTTTGTGCCTGCATAGCTATACTACTGACAATTCTGAGCTATGTAACAGTAATTTCAAATAGTTAAGTGGGTAAACAGAAAAAAAACAACTTTTATATCATTAAGAATTCATCTCAAGTACCCAACACTTCTCCAGTGAATATACAGCATCTTATGGAAACCAAACTAAAATCAGCTCTTCTACTGCATCTACATTTCCTTCTACTACTCCCATAGAGGTCCTACAAAAACAGCTCCAAGTCAATTATTCAGACTGGAAAGCAATGTAAATTTTTCTTTTTCCTCTAGTCTCCATCATGTGCTTTGCTATCAAACAATGCCAAAGCCAGAATATAAATGAGGCTAGAAAATATCCATATAAAATACACATATATATGTGTACACATGCTGTATACATTATTCCAGGTGTGTATAGCATGCTGAACTGCTAAACAGCTTTCTGCATGGACTTCACGGGAACAGAGACCCTGTTATGAACTACTCCCTCCCTATTTTTTTTCCATACACTCGGGCTATTGTGACATCTTCTTTCCCGGCAGTGCTTCCTTTCTCTTGAACTTTTACCCTCTCTGCTTGAGCCCTTCTATGAATGGCAATGTAACAAAAGGGGAGAAAATGAAGAGAAGTGTAATTAACAAGATGATGACTGCCCCAGCTCCTCAGAGATATCCTTAGAGAGTGACTCTCTGAGCTCATCAGCACGACAGAAGATAGTAGTGTCAGGAATAAACTGAAAAAAACCCAGATAAGCTAGAGACAGCCTCAGTTATTTTTGAGTCCCATTTTACTGACAGAATATAACATCAGTGAAATTAAGGCAGCATGCAATTTAGACTGGCCTTATGTTTTTGTGCTATAGCTGCTCAAGTGGATTGTATGGTTAAAACCATATTTCAGCTCCCCAAAATCTTATGTCATGTGTGTTTGGACAGTATCAAAAGAGTAATATTGTGAGAAAATACTGTTAATGGTCAGTTATTCAATGCAGTATTGGCAAATACCTGGAGACATGCTGTAGATAGATAGGCTGCTAAATTTTAAACAGCTACTGAGCCTAATCTCTTTCATCTAGTTGTACCTTGATTAATACAGGAGCTAATACAGATTGGAGAATTTCAAATGTATGCCCCAAGCATGCACATATATATTACAGCAGTAAAACCCAATAGTAAACCTGTTCCTTAGGCATTGTTAATAGGATTTGGATAATCACAGAAAAAGCCCTTGGTGCTGAAATTTATTCTTTTTGTTTACACCACATTACCTAATGGGACTGTGTGAAGCTGAAAAGAAAACAACGGATTGACATGAACGTTCCAGTAGAAAAAAATGGCAATGTCAGTGAGGCCTCCATGCAAGTTAATAATTTGTTTTACTTTATTCTGCATTTGCTCATCTCAAGGAATATTTTCAAATGAAAATCACATGCTTGTACTTTTTAGCTGAAGTTAAGTGCTAAGATAGCAGGTTTTAAAATGTCCACTGCGAGGATTGGAAGATGCCTTATCAGGAGTGCCTGGTACACACCTCACATGAGGTCCACTCTGAGAATGCTTCTTAGTCATTTCCTTCATCACAAAATCCACCAGTGACATTTCATGTGTCCTTTGCTGCTGGAAGCTGTGCTATCCTGCCCCTTGGCCAATGAGATAGAATTATATATTCTATAAAATTACTGAATATTGCATTTCTAGTCCCAGTATCTATTAAAACCATTGCTGCTGCCTGCTAAGGAAAGACAGACCAAGTTAGGTAAAGAAAGATTGAAGCCCAACAGGAATAGTTAATTATTAACTGGGAAGTTAGAAAGAGGGATGCCCCACAGAGTTAGAGTATCCCTTGGAGTCCAGCATGCCCTCCTCCCTGTCATCCATGGACTACTCCTTATATACAGTCAGGTTCATTCTTTCATGTAATAAGATGGAAGGAAAAGCAGATTCTTCTGCTTTTTCCCTTTGTTCTGATTTCTGTCTTTTGTCAGTTAGCACACAGTCCAATGAAAGGATGAGAGAAAAGCAGGCACAAGTAAAATTCACTTTCAAGGGGGATTTTACTGGTGCCAAACTACTGTGCCATCAGCAGTTATTGGTTACACACTACAAACTTTTATTTCCCTGCTTGCTGGCCACACGATGCCAGAACACCCTGTTGGCCCCAGAAGGCAGATGCCTGCTGCTGGTACATGACCAAAGTAAAATGTAGGTTGCGTGTCTCCTTGGCTATTATATGGCCATTTTTCTAAGCAATCTTTGGCTGATGAAGTTCTGTGCTCTCTCATAAGGACTGTCACGTGGTGGAGGGAGAGGTGGGGGGTTGATTCCTTGTTTCTATGGTTTGTAAAAAGGTAAATGTTTAACTCAGTTTTGGCACTGAGAAGAAGAGCAGAGAGGGTTTTAAAGGCATTTTGCACTTAAGTACTCATGAAACAACATTGTTATTCTCACACAGCAGGCGTAAGCAGAAGAAACAGAGACATAACAACTTAGCAATGCAAAATGAGCTCCAGGCATCAGGTAATTGTACCTTTTTTTTTGCTTTTAAAACCCCTAACAACACTGAATCACATGCGGTCAATCTGACCTGTTCTTGATGCTGTTCGCAGCAGTAGAAAGTCTTTGTGACTCACACTTTCAAATCAGAAGGACATTTTAGATTATTCACATATGGAGAGAAAAAAGCAAAACAACAAACTGTTTATTTGTATTCATTTTATGACCTGAAAGGGCTCCATTTTTCATGACTTGTACTGAAGTTAGTGTGTTTTAAAAGTATTTATCTAAAAGATGTGATTTCATCATACAGCCTCCAAAACAAATTTATTTAGTTCCATTATATGTGACCTATCTTTCTGACTTTCTTTTAAGATATAAAATATTATGGATAGGTAGAAGCATGTGATCCAGAGAAGCAATGCAACATGCCACATATTTGAAATTCAAAGGTACTGGCAGTTCCCTGGGGCAGGTACTTCAGTGTCGTGAGAGCCAGAACTCTCTGCAATGAACACAGTGGCTCTGGATGGCTCAGACATAGCTTCTCGAGGGCAGCAGAGCTGGTGAAGGGTCTGGAGCACAAATCCTATGAGGAGCAACTGAGGGAGCTGAGGGTATTTAGCCTGGAGAAAAGGAGGCTCAAGAGAGAGCCTCATCACTCCCTATGACTACCTGAAAGGAGGATGTATTTAGGAGGGAGCTGGTCTCTTCTCCCAAGAAACAAATGATAGCACAAGAGGAAATAGCCTCAAGTTGTCCCAGGGGAGGTTTAAATTGGACATTAAGAAAAATGTCTTCATCAGCAGGGTTGCCAAGCACTGGAACAGGCTGCCCAAGGAAGTGGTTGAATCACTATCCCTGGAGACATTTAAAAGACATAGAGACATGGTTTGGGGGCATGTGTTAGTGGTGGACTTAGCAGTGTTGGGTTAATGGTTGGACTCAATGAACTTACAGATCTTTTCCAACCTAAACAATTCTATGATTCTCTGTGTTTTTGTCAACTGGTTCCTTCATGTTCCATAACTGGTGCTTCTGTAGAAAGGGTAGAGAGAGACGAGCACTTACCCAGAAACAAAGCATGTAGTCAACAGGAATGGGCATCCTTCCTGGCTCTACAAGAGGTGACTGGTAGAGTCACCAAGCACCTGCAGAAACAAGCCGCGCATCCACTACCAGGAATGCAAGCAGTGACATTATTCTTCCTCTGTTCCTCTGCTCCAGGGACACCAGGTTGCAGGTCAGAGTCGGAGGCTGATCATCATCTCTTATGGCCAACCTCTGCACAGCACTGTGCCCAAACAGGCAGGTCCCAGGAAGAGGTTCATTAGCTGTGCGCTATCCTAATGGCTGCATGGCTTACCGGTCACATCTGGGCTGTGACCACCAACTGGAAGGACCAACAAAGCAACTCTGCTCCCTAGAAAGTCTGCACTCTCCAGTCAACTATCTTTGTGAATTTGGTGTATGTAGTGATTTGATTAAAATCAGGGATCTTCCTCAGGCTAAGTAATACGTACTCTTTTTTCACATGACTTAAGTGTGCAGGTCCCATGCGGTAATGACTTAGGATACAGCCAGAAAAGTTTTGCTGATGAATGTAAAATAACTGCATGTGCAGGTAGAAAAATGTTATCTGTTTATAAACCACTTTGTAGTTAACAATACAAAAAATATTAAAAAATGGATGGGGAGAAAAAAGTGTGAGAGCTAAACTTTTTTCTCCCCATCTATTTTTTAATTAAGTGTAATCCATAAATACCAGGGGATTGTCCACTTGGACCAGATTATATGTTTCAGTTCCTAGAAGAAGAAAAATTTATTACTTTTTTGCCATGCATTAAATTTAATATTAGTTCCCATGTTGGAAAGAATAATGGGAAAAACCTTTCCTTGGGTTGTGAGAAGATGATATCTAATATCTTCCAGTTAATCCCATTATGATTATTATATATGACTCTAGGTTGGGTTCATTCATAGATTGCACAAATATTACTAAATAAGGCTTCAGGCAAGTATACATGAATTTTTGTAAATTGTGATCAGGCCTCAGTGCAGTGGCTGCCAGGTAATGGATTAACGAGCTGTCAGTATTAAATTCATTTATTTCACCTTATCATTTAAAGAGCAGGTGGCCTCTAACTATACCAATCTGAACACACCACTCTGAAAGACATACAGCTTTTTGCAGAGAAATAGGAGGAGCAGCGGCAGATTTCATTTATCAGGAATAACGTTCCCTTCCTGACCTTTCATCTCCAGCACCTAGGTAGACTCACTCTGCCGGTGCTATTGACCCTGCACATTTTATGCAGACTGGGGTGGATTGATGATAAATATACTGAAAGTTACTTGCTGTAACTTGAAGTTAAGTGAGGCCTTGAAAGAAAAGCCTTCAAAGGACTAAAAATGTGTGCATGCATGTATTTGTTCAAAAAAGCATGTAGTGATTGACTGGACTGTGTTCTGCAGATATGCACATATATGGGTTTCAGTGGAATTGTAAGGTGTGTAAGTCAGTGCAAAATTTGTCTTACCCTTCTCCAAAGTCGAATCAGTCCTGGCTGCCTCTGTCACATAAACAGTGTAAGTTCAGATACAATTGAAATATGTGAATTTACTGAAAAAAAAAGTAAACCCAAAAGGCTGAAAAAGTTTCACAGTTATTTAAAAATAAGAAGGATAACCTTTAGTTTACTCAGGTTATATTGACCCTTTTTCTCCCTCTCTTTTCAGTGTACTAGAGCCAATAAAATATTTGGCCTTGAAAAAATGAAAAAGGGTGAGAAAGAGTTTGATTTTGACCTTTAACTAAGTAGCTCATCTGGTTGAATCTCTGTATGCTGAAAAAAATGAAGGCGAGCAAGCAGGAGATTTTTCTTTCAATAGGCAGGGTTTCTGTTTGTCTGCATTTCCTACCATCTCACTTGTTTACTCAGTATATTTATAAAAATTACTGCAGCTCCCCATCTATTACTGCTGTATTCTAATTAGAAGCTGAAAGGATACTGAGGACTCGCTTGGAAAGGATTAGTGATCATGAAACAAACCGAAATGTCTGTCTGCTCCATACCACCAGGCAGCTTTTCTGCAGGTGAAGATAAAGAAGAGTAGAATCAACAAGATTTGTTGAAAGAGTTTTTTAATGCTTCTTATCTTGTCTTACTATGGTGGTAAGTGTTGTCAAGGACTGTTTTGAGCAAGAAGTTGAATTACAGTCATCAAAAAGAATGAGGTTGTGCTATTGTCAGCAAGACTACTGATGGCATAATGAAATGCTGTGTGCAATGAAAATTTGAAGAACAGGATAGATCTGCATTAAAGGAGGATTTTTCTTTTCTGGGCAGGGGTTTTCCCCTTTCTTTTTATAAGACAACTTTTTAATTGGAAAAAAAACAACAAACAAGAACTCCACAATGGGGAAGTTTTGTCATCATTTGGGAGTAAATAGAAGATACGATTTAGGGGTGGGTATCTCAAAAAAAAAATAGCAGCCAAATCCTTTCTCAAGGAACTCTGTGTGCTTACATTTGTGAGCCCTAAACATGTGCTAAAAACACCTCCCTTTTCATTCCCAAAGCACTATTGCTTTGAACAATATTCGGCAAGAATTCAGAAATGCTGTACTTGAGCAATGTGTCATTTAGAAGGCAGGTATAATGTAAAACCATTTCATTAAAAGTAAGTCACATCAGGACCCACTAGAAAGACAATTTATCCTGAAATTACTAAGAATTGATACATATATAATTGTTTTGCTATCACCTTTTTCAAAAAACATCACCCAACTAGACCTTAAAATTGTACCCCAAAAGGTTATTTGGACACAAATGTTGCTCAGGTAGGTGGGAAATCAACTGATGTTCATTTCTACTTCTCAGGCAGTGACACAACAGGGAAGTCCCCCTTCACAATTTTTTGAATGGAAATATTTTCTTCTTTTTTACCTCCATATGAATGAGCATACTCACATTCGACAGGTGCACTCTTTGCTGGGTTAAAAAGTGGCTGGATGGCAGGGCCAGAGAGTGGTGGGGAATGGTGCCACATCTACTTAGTGGATGGTCACTAGTGGGATTCCTCAGGACTCAGTTTTGGGGCCAGTACTGTTCTATGTCCTTATTGATGATCTGGACGAGGATATTGAGTGTACCCTCAGACAGTTCACAGACGACACTAAGTTTGGTGGGAGTGTTGATCTGCTGGAGGGTAGGAAGGCTCTGCAGAGCTGCACAGGCTGGCTGGATGGGCCGAGACCAGCAGTATGTGATTCAACAAGCCCATGTGCTGCGTCCTGCACTTCGGTCACAAAAAAACCCCGGCAGATCCACAGGTTGGTGTAAGAGTGGCTGGAAAGTGGTCCAGTGGAAGAAGACCTGGGATTACTGGTCGACCGCTGAACATGAGCCAGCAATGTGCCCAGGTGGTCAAGAAGACCAGTGGGATCCTGTCCTGTGTCAGAAATAGTGTGGCCAGCAGGACCAGGGAAGTGATTGCCTCTCTGTGCTTAGAACCGGAGAGGCTGCATCTTGACTCCTCTGTCCAGTTTTGGGCCTCTCACTACATTGAGGTGCTGGAGTGTGTCCAGAGAAGGGTGACAAAGCTGGTGAAGAGTCTAGAGAGTAAGTCATATGAGGTGCAGTTGAGGGAGCTGGAGATTGTTTAGCCTGGAGAAAAGGAGGCACAGAGGGGACCTTATCACTTTCTACAACTACCTGAAAGGAGATTGTAGGGAGGTGGGGATCAGTCTCATCTCCCAAGCAACTAGAGGATACAGCCCTAAGGTGCACCAGGGAAGGTTCATGTGGAACATCAGGAAGAGTTTCTTCACAGAAGGGGTTGTTAAACACTGGAATTGACTGCCCAGGGAGGTGATGGAGTCATCATTCCTGGAGGTGTTCGAGAAACTACTGAATGTGTTACTTACTGCCATGATCTAGTTGACAAGGTGATGATTGGTCAAAGGTTGGCCTCGATGATCTTGGAGTTCTTTTCCAACCTCAATGATTCTGTGATTCTGT